CGTGTTGTGCTTCTCGCGGTTGACGGCAATGTACGCGTGCTTGTGCTTGATCACATGGCGTCCGTATCCCGGCTGCAGGAAGAAGTGTGCGGGGCCGGGGCCCCCTCCGCTGAGCGCACCGCCTCGGGCGCCCGCCGTGGTCGTCTGCACGGAGAGGTTGTGGATGCGCGTGATGCGCGACGCAACAAAAGCCCGGGGTCGGCCGCGGTTGAGAGAGCCAGGCGAGGACCCACGGGTAGGCGGGGGTCTTGTTTGCTGATCCTCGACATTGACGATGATCTCGACATTGACGAGGAGGCGGCGGGCCCGCGGGACCCCGCGGGGATGAGGACGCCTTGCGGCCAAACGCGGCTACGGCGCCGATGGACGCGAGCCCGATGCCGCCGGCGAAGAGAGGATTATCGAAGAGTGCATTGATATTGAGGAGGGATGCGGCGTCTGACGAGGTCGAGGACATGGCGAGGGGGGTCGGGATTCGGAAAGGTGCAAGGCAGACGAGAAAGCTGTCGCGATGCCTCGCTCGAAATTTCCTTTGCTGGGACCAAACGACATCATGGTAAGGTATGTTGACTAATCTCGGTGGGTCGGTGAGACATGGTGAAGTGGAGCTTCGGTGAGTCTAACCCTGGATGTCTTGAGCGCGACTATATAACTGAAATGGCTTTGTGGTCAACATGTCGTGGGTTGATTTAGAGCGGAAAAAGAAATCATTTCTCGTATCTAGGCATCTTTATGTTCAAATACAGTCTTAACGGTCGTCATAAAACAAGCCTCTCCTTGCAGTACCTCTCGTCACAATGTACGAGCTTTCTGGTAGGCATCTTTCAATGTATGAGCCTTTCTACGACTGGCATAAAATGCTTAGCGATTAATGGTCCTGTGAACCTGCAATGTTCGACACATTTTACGGCCCGCGAGGTTTGCCATTTCAAGTGTTTGATTAGTGTGTTGATACACACGCAACAGCAACAAGCGAAGCATGGGCCTTCAAGAATAGTGGCTCAATCAATATGAGACCCTCGCGTCTTCAAATAACGGGTTTTATTGCCCTGCAGTTTCTGACTGGTAGTGATCTTGCCACCGGGATAAGCTCTCATGAAGCTTTCTCAGCGTCTAGAACATATGCGCCATTGAACGAATCTACATTTTCCAAGCTTTGCGGTTTGAACGACCGGTACGTAATGGGCCCAACCCTATTGCCTAAATTTCTGACCTTATCTTCAATCCCGGGGTTGAAGTTCTGGTGGGTGTCACGCCACGATTGCGCCCAACGAGACTCTCATCACGTTGTTTGTCAGACGGCGTGAGACTGGCAGGATCCAAAGGGCGTTTCGAACCGAGGATGGGTAGGGATTAGCCTGTTTGGGCGTCAATTTGAGGATCGGAGGTTCGAGTTAGTTCGTATCTCACCCTAATCATCCTCAGCTAAAGCAACGTCGTTCTCGGTGAATTTTCTAGCGCAACGAGTGATCACGGAACAGCCCCGGGTGTATGGATTGGCAGAACTTCCTGGACCAGTATAGCAGCGGTTAATAGGCTCGTCTGGGCCATAGCATGCGATTGTGTCTCGCTTTAGTGCACCGTAGGAAATGTATGTTCTTTCCCCTATGCCAGCCATTGCCAGCGTGACGAAGGAAGCGATAACAAGAGTTCCGATTTGCATCTTGCCACTTGAATTTCGTAGAAAGATTGAATGATTTGTATGGAGTGATGAAGAATGATGTGCTGTAAGGCCAGTGTAGTGGCGGATAGGTAGGTACTTATAGGCTGACGGGCAATTTCGGTGTCATCTATCCTGTCACGACAGAACCTCGCACACCCGAGTTTACAAGCCGATTACGTCGGAACAACGTCCAAGAGATAAAACCTCCGTGTTTGCAAGCTCTTGAAATGCGAGACAAGTTCTTACGCGAGCTGCAACATGAAAGTCAGGGCTGAGTCAGGTGCGGAAGCGAACGATTGATGATTAACTTGATGCCCATCGTGACATCGTGCTACGCTTATCGAAGGGATGTTTTGTTATATGCTAAAGGAGTTCCATCCTTGACGTTAGTCCACGTGTTAGTTCTAGTGCCTGCGGGGGGTGGCTCACTTGAAACTCTGTCTCCAGTAGCCTACAACGGCGAATAACGAGCTGGCTACCTTACTCTGCGAAGTTTCTGGTTCTTGCCCGGTCTTACCAGCTACTTGAACGGATACACATCATGCTCATTCAATTCAAAATACTGGGGTGGCAGGCCTGTTTCATCCATTCATCGCAGTCGCCTGACACAGAGTGCAACTTAGGCTCCAATTCTGCACCTTCGAGGAGGGGCTCTCCGAAGAGGGGCTTTTCGAAGAGGGGCTCTCCGAAGAGGGGCTTTTCGAAGAGGGGCCCGCATCACCTCAGGCTACTAACGAAAGCCTCCGTATAAATCTTACTGTCTTCTAAGAGTTAAAGGCCGATGAGCAATCTCAGGACCGATCTGGGAACCGATGATAAATGTTCCGCGGATCAGCCAGTTCTTCCTCCAAAGTCGGGAGTCTCTTGATAACCTTTGCTGGCGACCCAAGGGCAACAGAGAAAGGCGGCAGGCTCCGTGACACAACCGATCCTGCGCCAACCGTACAGCCCCGACCGATCGTGACCCCTGCGAGAATCGTGACATTGCCCCCGATCCAGCAGTCGTCCTCGATGCGCACCGGGTGGCCAAACTCGATGCATTTGACGCGGGACAAGACGCTCGTGTCATGACCTGCGCTGTAGATGTGCACGTTGGGACCGAGCATGACGCGCTCGCCAATGACGACCAGGCTCGTGTCCAAGACGGTGAAGCCAAAGTTCATGTTACGAGTTCTTCCCAATGATCCACGTGCAGCCGTAGTCTGCGTAAACGGAGGCTCTATGAAGACGCCTTCTCCCACAAACCGAGCCAGCGCTTAAGGATCTTCGAAACGCTGGCGGCTATTTCGTCCGCTGTTCCGAGGGTCGGCGGCATGGTGTTGTACTCATGCGCCAGAATACGACATTCGTGACGAGCATTTGTCAACGGCGGAATCAAAGAATCATATCTTTTTGCAGAGGTCAGTCGTTGGCCTGGTTTTTGCACTCGGGGTTTGGTCTCACAGCATGCCAGAGATCATCTTCTCGTATTCGTCACACCATGGTGTCCCCCTGAGTGTGCGGGCTGTTTCGATGATGGCAGCATCCTTCTGCTCTTTGACGGATGACATTATTGAGTCTCTTGAGGAAACGCAGGCAGACATGATAAGGACGTCTGTATAAGAGGTTTGTAGGATGTTGTCTTTTAAGCCAGTTGAGTTACACGAGGCGGGAAATCGACCAGCTTTCCGACAGTTTTCCGCCCCCTCTTTCTTGGCGACCTCCGCATCTTCCTTCCCCGGATGACGGAGCCACACTTCACGCAGCCTATTACTAGCAAAAGTTTGCTGGGCCTTGAGACTGAGACATCCCAGGCAATCAATGGCGCACCGCTTGAATGGTGGTTGTGATCTGTCAACATGTCCGTACCATGAGGCTGTCTCGAATGACGGCTTAACAAGTGTGGCACTCGTATCTCACCCGGTACGCACGTCACACGAGCTTACGTTCCCGCAAGGCCATCACGAGCTGCACACAAATCCAAGGCAAACACAATGAGCTGACAATTGACTCGGGGTTATGGTTTGCTTTTGACCAAGCTGCCTACTCATTTCCCAACCGCGAGACAAGCTTCTCGCAAATTCAACACCCACCAGACTCCTCGCTCGCCCCGTTCATCAACCTCGTCAGCCTTGGTAAACACTTTTCCGCTACGCCCCTCATACAATTTGATTGATCCACAATTTTCTAATGCCATGGCATGGTACACTGGCCGGTAGTACCGTCCGGAGCCTAGGCCTTGGCTTCATTGGCGGCCGTGAACGCAGCAATGGCATTCATGAGGGGAGGGTTCAGAGCATCGTAAGACTCAAGGCCAAGAGACTCGAACTGAGCCCTTACATCGTCAATGTGTCTCGCGTCGAAGCCCTGCTCGATGATAGAGGTCACAAAACCGGCAAACTGGGGCTCCTGCCAGCCCTTCTCGTCGGACAGCTCGGTGTGGACAAAGTCGAGGCCCTTGAAGGCGTGATCCTTCTCAATACGGCCATACAGATGAACACCGCAGCCGGTGCAGGCGTGGCGCAGGATAGTGGCGCTAGGATCGACGACGGCCAGCTTGTCGCCATTGGCCGTCACCTCGAGCTTGTCAACGGGCACGACGGAGACGATGGAGAAGAGAGCACCCTCTGGCTTCCAGCATTTGGAACAGCCGCAAGCATGGTTGTGGGCGACGTTGCTGCGGAGAGTGACTGTGACGGGAGAGGTTGAACACTTGCACTTCAGGACACCGCCCTGGAAAGAGGGGTTTCCCTTGGTGATGCCGTTGACAAGAGAAGGATGAAGAGGGAAAGACATGTTTGTAATTGCGGTTTCCTTATAGTCAACTCAAGCAAGGATGCTAAGTATTGTCGATGATTTGATTGGGTGTGCCGTGGGTGGGAATGAGTAACTGAGAACCCTGATGGAAGCTCATCAACATTGAGTGTTCTTTATACTGCGCCTTGCCATGTTGGCCAAGTCGTGATCAATGGCCCGGAATTTCCAAGAGCGCAAGGCGGAAAGCAGAACCGAAGGACGTCTGTCGTTGGGAGCTCGTGCGCCCTTCCGAGCGATTCCGAACACCGACAATGAACCCCAGAATTTCGACTTGCCGAGATATCACCACTAGTAAACCTGGGGTAAGGAAACTCTATATGCATTTCAACTCCCTAGCTTATACTCCTGCATGTGGCGTGATCTCGAGCCGTGAAGGCGCATAGAAGGGATGGAACTTACGCTACTTGCAGTGCTGTCATTCGAACAAACCAAACTTGGCCAATGCAAGTACCCGAGAGTATCGTCTCGGCTTCGGTCCCCTGCCCCGCATGTGTGCCGCGTACCGGGGCAGTAGAGCCGACGACTGGAGGAGGAGCCGTGCTGGTTATGTCCGAACTCAGGCGGAGTTTCGGGGATTGGAGGAGCCCGCCGACATTTGACGTGACTGCTAGCTTCAGGGGTCTAATGATGGCTTCTCTATGGCTGACCGGGAGAGCTGCGTGTGACAATTTCAGCCAATGTCATCGCTCAAAACGGGGGATTCGTTGGCGATGGTGTCGTAGGCAGGCATCCAAGGCGGTTGCCATCTGAGCAACCCCGCTCTACTCATCGCGAACGAGATGCGAATGGCGTGGTTTGGTCTAGGCATTCTGTCCGACATCAAGAGCAGCAACAACAGGGTCGCATCAGAGCATTGGATCGCCAGAATTTCCGAATCATCTCCGACTGAGCATCTTGGCGACGTACAAGAGGCTGCTGATGATGTTTCAAGTCGTCGGCTACTACTTGGCAGAACTGCCGCTTTGAACACCAATAGCGAATGTGGGCGATCGCGGGCTGTCGATTGTACGGCAATTGTCTGTGGGAGCGGCAGACTTGCGGATATATATTCGTATCAAGGGAGTCTCTGGCGGCTTTGGACAATGCGCTGCGGGGTCTCTATCTCAAGGATGGTCTTTGCTGCTTGGGGCATCTACTTCGCGTCAGACTGACATGATTTCTCTGGTGCTCACGTACTTTGCCTTGGGCGCCACAGTTCAAATCGACGAACGGGAAGGTGCGTATCCATGCGCATGCTCCTGATGCAGGGAGTTTCTCAACGATGAGGAATGTCCAAGGCCTTGATAATCGAGGCGACACGACTCTGCCTGAGAGAACTCTGAAGTATCTTACCTGCTTACGATATACCTTAGGTAGGTAGGTACTTCACCTCACCTAGGTAGATGTCTAGATACCTAGGCACAGGGAGACCATGTGAGCCACAGGCAGTGGCTGTGCAGCTCTGGTGCCTGGTCCATGACGTCGGCGTCAGGGCGACAGATGGCGAGATGCCAAATGTTGGGAGGTGGGCAGCCATCATCGAGGGGTAATTACATGCGTGTCTCTTGACGTCAACAGCATCTTGTTTTGCGTATCGCTATTTCCCCTGATCCTGTTCCATGATCCTGATCTCGTCTCAACCTCATCTGAGAATCACCCACGAGCTTCGTTGCCTAACCCAGTAGGACCCAAAAGTCTAATCCTGAGAGACCCCTAATTCCGCACAACGAAAAACTCATTCTTGGCTCTTCAGCGTGGTCACAGTGCCCCGCCGTTTCCGCCCCCCGCCCCCTAAGCCTATCCACCACCCCCTGTGCTCAAGTGCGCAGGCATTCGCCAGGGGCAACCAAAAACAATTGCGGCATCTCGTTCAACCCCGCTGACATCTTCGCCATCCCCATCAAATAAACACGCATCGCACAGTACATATCGTGCCACACGACGACGGCTGTGTACTCCTGCATCGTGAATCGACCCAACCTCCACAAGACGGCAATCACTCTCTTCTTCCAGACCACATAAACATGGCCTCCCAGGCAGACGCACAGGGCTCCGTGGCTGGCTCCAGCAGCTGGACTTCTTTCGTCAAGGTATGTCGCATGACCTCGCAGCTTCCCTTGCACCAACCCGCGTTAACAAGCTCCCAGTCCATTGCTTCCTTCAACGGCGACCTTTCCTCCCTGACGGCGCCCCCTTTCATCGTCTCGTCGACCTCCCTCACAGAGTTCTCCTCCTACTGGTGTGAACATCCCTCGCTGTTCGCCGCCCCCGCCAAGGAGGCCGACCCCGCGAAACGCGCCCTGCTCGTCCTCAAGTGGTTCGTCAGCACCCTGAAGCAGCAGTACGCCAGCCGCAGCGAGCAGTACGGAAACGAGAAGAAGCCGCTGAACCCTTTCCTTGGCGAGCTTTTCCTCGGCAAGTGGGAGGATGCCGCGGGCACCACCGAGCTCATCAGCGAGCAAGTCAGGTGAGTTTGTGTCCCTGACCCGTGACGCCTCGCCTGGATCAGCAAGCGGATGGATTTGCTGACGGATGCACCTCGACAGCCACCACCCACCGGCGACGGCCTACTCGATCAACAACCTCGCCTCGGGCGTCCACCTCGAGGGCTACAACGCGCAAAAGGCCACCTTCAAGAGCACCATCAACATCAAGCAGATCGGCCACGCCGTCCTGACGGTGCCGATCCCTGGCGACGCCGACAAGAAGACGGAGACGTACCTTATCACGCTGCCGTCACTGCACATTGAGGGTCTCCTCTTCGGCTCGCCCTTTATCGAGCTCGACGGCTCCACCTTCATCACCTCCTCCTCCGGCTTCACCGCCAAGATTGACTATTCAGGCAAGGGCTGGCTTTCGGGCAAGAAGAACACCATCTCGGCGGTGCTCTACCCCACGGGCCGCGAGAAGGAGGTCCTCTACAACATCTCGGGCGTCTGGACCAAGACGTTTGAGATCCACTCGGGCCCCGCCAAGACCAACTCGTCCAAGACGCTCGTCGACTCGCACGACGCCACAAAGGTCGAGCCGACGGGCCTCATCGTCGCGCCCGTCGAGCAGCAGCACCCGCTCGAGTCCCGCCGCGCCTGGGCCAAGGTCGCCGCCGCCGTCGCCAAGGGCGATATGGACACGCTGTCGTTTGAAAAGTCCAAGATTGAGAACGCCCAGCGCGAGCTTCGCGCCAAGGAGCGCAGCGAGGGCCGCGTCTGGGAGAGGCGCTACTTCTCCGAGTTCAAAGGACAGGACCCCGTGCTCGAGTCGCTCGGCAACCACGTCGGCCTGCCGCTGACGGGCGACGCCGACAAGACGGGCGGTCTGTGGCGCTTCGACGCCGACAAGGCTGAAAAGGTCCGCAGCCAGCCGCCGGCGAGCGAGGACGCCAATCTGGCGCTGGCCAAGGAGGCGCTGGGACAGTAGGCGGCTGGAGGCACGGACGGCATGGATCGAGCACGCGAGGGATAGAGGCCATCCACAGTAGCACGGTGGCGCCTGGAGTTGAGGTCTAGTTGGGTGCGGTATGCCTTGTAATGACACCATTATCCTTTTGCCTTGGCGGCCTTGTGCGTTTCTCGAATGCGGACATTGTGACGTGTCGTTGACGTCTGCGTTCTGGAGTGAGGGAGGCAAGTCTAATCACTTCATCTAGCTCTACTGTACAAGGCTGTGTCATGGGTGTCTGCGTCTGCGTCCGATCACGCAGACCTCTCTTCTCTTCTAACCTGCCCGGCTCTGCACCCCAACGTATAGTGTCCAACTTTTGTAGGCTGTCGCCGCGGTCGCTCTGCCGGGGGTTTCCAATGCCCTCAGCCAAGGGCAGACAGATCCTTGTAGCCCAAAAAAAAAGACAGGAAGAAAATTCATCTATGCATCCAATGCAGCAAAAACGCCCACCATGCCGTTCATGCAAGATAGTACAACAAAGCACACACCATCGCCCATCACGCGACGCCTCTTCGTCTCATCACAACGCTACGCCAGCGAGACGTACCCCCTGCGCCCGAACAAGGCGAGCATCCTGCTCACGCAGCCGCCCTGGTCGTCGCCCGCGGCGTCCTCATCCTAACACGCATCCCCGCCGCCGCCGCCGTCACCGCCGCCGTCATCGTCCTTGTCGAGCTCGTAGAAGAGGAGGTACACCTCCCTCTGCATGCCGAGGACCTCGCCCGTCTTGGCCTCGCGGATCTTCTCGTCGCTGATGCGCCACCAGCGGTCCGGCGTCTTGCGCTTCCGGTGCGGCCTCGGCGCCGGCGGCACGGCCATGGGCGTCGCGCCATCGACGGGCGTCGCTGTGCCGGAGACGGAGACGGAACCGCTACCGCCGCCACCGCCGCGGTCGCGTGACAGGGAGATGCGCGAGAGGGCCGAGCGCGTGGACGCGGCGACCGAGCGGAGGCTCGCCGTGTCGTCCCGCTCTCGCTCCCGG